AAATGAACTCTGCCTCAGAGGGTTCATCATTTGGGAAAGTCAGTAAACAAAACAATCCCAATATAGTACAAAAAGTGCTAAAACAGGAGGCTGCACAAAAGGATGCTGGGATTAGGAGGAAGGACTGACTGGCTACTACTCAGGCTTTGCTTTGTTTCATACTGTGCCATTTTTATTTAGGAGATAATCAAACTGGAGATAACAGAAAGCAGCTCGCAAGATGGATGGCCCTGCTTTGCTGATGTGCATCACTGCTGAACTGCCTGGAGGTTTCCTGCTGACGAAACTTCAGGTCCAAAGATAACTCTAGGCTTCACCTCCCAAGCCGCCATTCAACTGGTGGTGGCAGAGAAAGCAAAAGGCAAACCCCTCAGAGGCTCCAAGGGGCCACTCAGGCAGCGGAACCTCTTTGCTCAGAGGAAGCTGAATTCCATACCAAGGAATTCCAACCTCTCCTCCACTGGCTCCTTCCGGTCATGCTGAAGAGTCTCTCATCCTGTAAAGTAGCCTCTTAACTATCACCCCTACTAGCTATTGCCTATTTACTCTTCTTTTAATTCCCCAAATTCTCTAAAGAGGACAGGCTCACCTTCACTGTGAATGAATTCTGTGGCCCATTCACACCTGGCTTCCACCTACTCTAAAGCATGGGCGTTTCTCTTTCTACACCACCAATGGGCACCACCATTACTGAAGCAAATGCTTTTCATGCTCCTCTCCCTTGTCCCCTGCACCTCCCCAGATCTGGTCTTCTGCTGCCTTCGTGATGCCCTCTCTCCTGGTTCTCATCTCACCCCTCTGCTGCTGATTGGTCTCCATCAGGAATCTTCTGCCCACCGCCAACCGCTGGCCTTTCCCAGATCTGTTTTCAGTCCCCTCGTATCACAGATTCATCCTGTGGGAATTCCACCAGCTGAGTGGCTTCCACTGCCACCACTATGTGGGTCATGAAGCTTTAGTCTCACATTTTTGGCTACTTACTGAATATCTCCATCTGCTTATCACATAAACACCTCAAACTCAATATATTCAAACTCACTCACTTTCCTCCAGATTTTGGTACTCTTTTAAAATTTCCAGTCTTTCCTTAGCTACCCTAGCTAGTAATTATATGGTAATCTGCAATTCCTCCCTCTCCCTCACCTCCAGAATCCAAGTGTTCACCAGGTCCTTTTGATTCTACTCTGAAGTAGTTCTAGAATCTCTCCTCTTCCTCCCTATTCCCACTGTTTTAGTACCTCATATTATCTTGCCTGAACCAGTTTCCCAAGTGGTTTATCAAACCCCAGCTTCTTCCCACTTGAATTTATCCTCCCCTCTCCCATTGGACTTACAGTATGATGGAGATAATGCCCCATCCCTGTTCAAAATCCTCCCAAAGCTCTCCATCAGTAATAGGTTATATTTTGAACAAGGTATATAAAAGGGTCTTTATAACTAGGTGCATTTCTTTCCTGCCTCATCTCCTCATTACTCCCTTAACTCACTTATCCTGAAAATCAGATTTTATGAATTATTCCCAATATTTGGAATGGATTGCATCAACCCACGAATACACTGTTCTCTCTGCCTTGGACATCCTTTCCTCTTTATCTACCGAGCAGATTTCCAATTGCACTTCAAGACTGAGCTCCAGGACATATGTGTAAAACCCCTCCGAAGGAGTTTCTCCGACTGTATTATGGCATTTTCCATGCAGTGTTTGCATGCCTGTCTCCCTTACCCGAGTACAAACTCCTTAGTGTAGCTATCCATTTCTGTGTCCACACGGCTTAACCCAGGGCTTGGTCCACAGTAGACACTCAAATGTCTGCTGAGTTGACTTGAAGGCACACAAGGCTTTTCTCTTGAACAACAGGACCAGACTTTAACCTCTGCACGCCCGATCGCTCTTGGTAATAGTGCTACAGATATAGCAGGTGAGGAACAAAACAGTCAGCTGGTTACGGAGGCAACCGCGAAGCACCAGAAGTGGTTGAAAGCGGCTGTGAAAGGGCAGGCATGGGGCAGGGTACTCTTGCTTTTCATTATACATCTTTGTGAAGTATTTGCTTTTGCAACCATGTTCATGTTTCTTTGGCAAATATAATAAACAAAATTCTTTGTTGGTTATGAATAATCTATTGATGTGTCTGCAAACTACAAGGGACCACTTTCCGTGTATTTAAAAGGACAGGTTATGGGCCGGGCACGGTGGCTCACGCCTGTAATCCCAGCACTTTGGGAGGACGAGGCGGGAGGATCACTTGAGGTCAGGAGTTCGAGACCAGTCTGGCCGACATGGTGAAACCTTGTCTGCACTAAAAATACAAAAATTAGCCAGGCGTGGTGGCGCACGACTGTAGTTCCAGCTACTTGGGAAGCTGAGGCAGGATAACCGCTTGAACCCAGGAGGCAGAGGTTGCAGTGAGCCGAGATCGGCCCACTGCTCTCCAGCCTGGATGACAGAGCCAGAATCCATCTAAAAATAAATAAATAAATGGACAGGTTACGTTCTGAGGGCTTAACTCCAAGTAGGCTATGTCATCAGTGTGTGTCAGTGATGAGGGAGATATCCAAGCATGAGGCTGCACAGGGAGGGCACTAGGCCAGCAGAGCCCTGTGCCTCAGAACAAAGCAATGGCCCTGCACAGAGAACATGCACTCACTCTGCTGTCTGCTAATGTGTAAAGATAATGCTCATCATTATCATGAGATACGGTAGGAAAACATGAGAATACTGTAGGAAAATATGATTTTATTCCTTCTAACCCCTGACACAGGTAAAGTGTGAAGGAGATGAAGCCTTTGCAAGCTATTTCTGCCAGCTTAGGAAAACTAGAATTTTAATATTTTAGGCTGAAGATTTTCATACATACAAACACATACATGCACATGCATTTGGTTAAAGGAAGCGGGCCGTAGTGCTGGGGCATCTAAGCGTAGAAAGGGTAAGGCTGAGATTTCTATTGAGGACAATTTAGTACTTGGGTTGTGAGCCAAACATGAAGAAGGTGGGCACTGTGATGTGTACCAGCAGGCTGAATGGGCATGTTACCCAGCGTGGATCACAGATCGATTCTTTCAAAGTCCAGAGATGAAGATAAGTCGTCTTTGCTAAAAACATCCCGCGGCTGCGCGTTATGAAGGCATATTTTGCTTCAGTATGTAATTTCCTCACTACTTAACTCTCAAAGTGTATCAGAATTGAATTCTAGGGCTTTTTCTAAATGAGAGCTGAGTCACAGGTACCTCGCTGCTGTGTCTGCAGACTCAAGTGGATGACTCACATCTGTAAAATTCTGAGAGAAAGTACCAACCGACCCCTTGCTTAGTCATCTTTTGCATGGATGCTGGGTTCATGAGGTCTGTAAACTATAATGAGCGATCTAGCCTTTTACCATCTCTTTATTCTTTTCTAAACAGTACAAATTACATCTCTAAAAATAACTTCATCTACGCAAGTGAGTCACTTCAACCTAACAAGCTTTCACAAGTTACTCAGCTAAATTGTAATATTTACTGTGAAGGTACAAATCTTATTGTCATATTAGCCCCATTTTTTTTTTTTTTTTTTTTTTTAGATAAGAATTTGGTAGACTTGGAAAAGGGAGGAGAGTTTTAGCAAATGTTTTAAAAAACATATGATTGACTCCTAACCTCTCACATGGGCAGGGGTTGTGATGGGGCTGGAGGAAGGAATTCTTTGAAAACTATTTCTAACAGCGCATGAAAATCAGAATTTTAATATTTCAGGCTGTAGCTTAATCAAAGACTCTGCACTTTTCTTCATGCGAGCCCATGCGTACGCTGTCCTCTCTGTGGGATGTTTATTGGCTGTTGGAAGAGATATATCAGTAATTCTATTTGCTTTAAAATCCTGATCTGTGAATTTATGACATATTTGACGAGAGACCCAGCCACACGAATACATGCACATGTATTAAATACTAATCTTTGCTCTTCCAGGAGCTGATCAGTCACCACGCCCTGAATTCTCTAGACACACAACTAAGCTTTGGTACTCCACCCGTTTACTGTGTAGCTTTCCAACCCCGAGGCCTGCCTGCTGGTCTTTAGCTTGCCTTTCCCAGCCTGGCATTGTCAGCTCTCAGCAGCCCCACCCCAGGCCTGTCCCAGTTAGGCAATAGGTCCAATGGAGGTAAGAGCAGGTTACCTGCATGAGGCTTATACCTTCATAACCTAGGCAGCAGTACTGAAATATGAAAGCACTGCTAATCTATACTCTGACTTCAGTCAGAGCGGACCAGAAGGATTTCTCATTCATGTTTGGCCAGGAATGAAATTGCTAATACCAACAGGCTTAGAAAGTTTCCACTGCTGTTTCAGCTTCTCCTTTAAGAGATCAGATCCGTTGGCTTCATCCAAATGGCCATGTGAACAACCTTTCCCTGTGCATGGGGGTGCTTTAGAAGAGGAAAATGAAATCACTGGTCCATCTGAAAATTCCCCAGGAAATGGGCTGCAAAGCCTACTTCCTGACTCCAAGGAGGGCAGAGGCTGAGTCATCTAATCCCTCCCGACTAGTATTCACTTGACTTGCACCAAGTAGGTCAGCTGGAGTCGCCTGAATTCTGCTCTCCGTCCTCGTGAGCAGCCACCCCCTGCAGTGGAGCTACTGGAGCATGCTGGGTCTGGTCTCTTCTGCGAGGTCTTCACTCGGCCTCAGCCCACAAGGTTGATGTTATGTAACCTCTCTAAGCTTTTCTTTTCTCATTTGCAAAATGGGGAGAGTCACACCATCTACCTCTCAGGGCTGTGACAATGAAAAGAGACACTGTACATGCAAGTGCTGTATAGACTTCAAGGTGCTCTGATCACTCAGCTCACCCATTTCAGCAAGTGATTACTGAGCTCTTGTCTAGTGCCTAACACTGGGCAAGGCGCTGTGCATAATAAAGAGTTAAAACATGGTTTAGAAGCCTGGGCAACATGGCAAAACCTTGTCTCTACTAAAAATACAAAAAACTAGCTGGGCATGGTGGCGTGCACCTGTAGTCCCAGCTACTGGCGTCGGGGGCTGAGGCGGGAGGATTGCCTGAGTCCAGGAGGTTAACTGCAGTGAGCCGAGATCGCATCACTGCATTCCAGTCCTGGCAACAGAATGAGATTCTGTCTCAAAAAACAAAACAAAACATGGTTTAGACTTAGTCTTGGACCTCAATAAGCAAATTAAGCAGAATAATGAAGCAAATACGTATGACAGTTAAGGAACCATTCAAGATAATAGATCTCATAATTACGTTATTTGGATCAAGGGTTATTCAGGTGAGAGTGCTCAGGTTAGAGAGTGAAGCTGAAGACAGCTTTTAAGAAATGGTGCAAGAAAGATGAGGAGGTCAAGGAGAGAAAGCAAGAAGGGTCAACAAAGAGGCCAAGGCTGAGTGGGAGAGAAAGCCGGATGGGGAAGGTGAGCCTGTCTACTGGGGGAGGCCGCCAGATAAAGGTGATGTCTTGAAATGATTAATGTGGTGGCAGGGCACAAGAGCCACAGACAAACCAGCTGGCCAGTGAGTTAGTCCCGGAGGTGACAGGTTTTAAGCAAGGGTGAAGGCATGGGAGTGGCAAACACAGGAATGAGTAACACCTTGCATTTCTGTAGCACATGACGCCTTCCCCTTTGCTTTCATGTGATTTATTCCTCACAAACCTCTGTGAGCTAGGCAGGGTGAGCATCAATCCCATTTCACAGACGAGGAAGCTGAATCTCAGAGCCAGTGCGTGGTGAGGCTGAGAAGTGAACCCAGTTTCCTGAGATAGGTGTTCCTTTGACTGCCTGTGTAGCCTCCACATTTGATGGGCAGGAGATTTACCCATGAAGCTGTTTTATTTTTTTATTTTTTTTGGAGACAGTCTTGCTCTGCTGCCCAGGCTGGAGTGCAGGGGTATAATTTCGGCTCACTGCAACCTCTGCCTCCCAGGTTCAAACAATTCTCGTACCTCAGCCTCCCAAGAAGCTGGGACTACAGGTCCGTGCCACTACATGAAGCTAATTTTTGTATTTTTAGTAAGATGTGGTTTCACTATGTTGGCCAGGCTGGTCTTGAACTCCTGACCTCAAGTAATCCTCCCGCCTTGGCCTCCCTAAGTGCTGGGATTACAGGCATGAGCCGCCATGCCTGGCCTGAAGCTGTTTTATTAAAACCACACAAGTTCAGCAATCAATCCTCCCTAACTCCTTTCAGATTAACAGTGGAGCAGGGACAGGAGAGAAGAGGAGAAAGGCAGGAGGTGCTCAGGCCTCGGAATCTGCCAAGGCTCTCAGGGGTTCTGAGGTAGTCAGGGCAGGAACCACTACACGACACTGCACTGTACAATGCGGTACCTAAGTGGTTAAGAAGGAGAAAAGAGAAGGGCAAATGAGACATCATTCCAAGGGTTGGAGCCTCAGTTCATAGAACCTGGTCTTGCCATCAAAAGCTGGGTGGAGCAGAAGATATTCAGTCCATGGAATTGGGTGAGAACTGTGCCCTAAACGGGGATGTCGTATCAGCTCCATGTGCCTGTGCTAGCTCTTATTTTTACCCTTCACAGCCAGAGTAAGAAAGTTCCATGGCATTCCAGAAGACTGGTTGTGAGCAGTGTGGCCACAGATGACTTCCTGCACTTGCCCTCCTCCAGTGAGGACGGGTTCTGCTGGGCTCTTCCAGCCTCTCCATCTCCCAAACTCATATCCCTCCACATACCGTCCCAGCCAAGTCAGTCCCCAGTTCAATGGCCTGTCTGTGAAGCCTTCCCCAGCTCCCTCAGGCAGAGGCAGGTGCTCCCTTCTGATTCCCACAGAACCCTCAGAAGTCCCTATCCCACTGTGGGCTTTCTTGGTCTCAAAAACTTCCCTGCCAGGCAATGGGCAGCTTGACCGCAGGCACCATCTTGCATTATCCTGTACCTCCGGGATGGGACAGGCTCAATAACTGTTGGTTAATGTAGAGCCCCCCTGAGTCTTCAGTCAAACTGAAAAAGTTCTGTCCAATTCTCGACTTTCTGCTATGCTCCCACCACTCTTTGGAGCAAAAGTGAGCTTCACAGAAGTCTGAAGTCACCTTCATTTAACTGTTTTGAATTACACCAAGGTCTGACTCCTTGAGTTGAGCCAGTTTGCGTTCCTCTTATCTTGCAGCCTTTGCCTAAGCAATAGGCTGTCCCTTCTGTTATGTGGGATTCCATTACTACTCCACTTTCCTCCCCAAAGCTACAAGTTTTAAAGGATTTTGCCTAAAGGATCATTTTCCCATGAGATGTCCAAATTATTAAAGCCAGCAAACGCATTTCTAAACCTCACACACAAAAATTGATATTTAATTTAGCTTTTACAACTTTTTCACGTATAAGTGTTTGATATCTATTCATCTTTTGAATTAAAGCTCTGAACATATTATGGTCACAGACCTTCATTGCTGCTTTTGTGAACAGTAAGCTGGTCTAAATCCCAGAAGGAATCTTTTGTCTCCTGTTCATCATACCCAGCCTCCAAAGTGGAATCTTAAAACCACCTCCTCTTGGATGCTTTCCCAAAAGAATTCTCCCAATTCTCTACCAGTCAACATAACTCTCCTTCCCCTCCCCTGTCAAAATGTATTTGTATCTACCACATCTCTCCACACATGCCAACTGAAAGTTAATGTCCTTGAAGATAGGAACCACCTCTACATTCCACCATGTGCCTAGAACTGACGGAGTGATCATCTGGGATAATTAAACATTACTGATTGGTATAAATGTCACAAGCTAAGGGTAATTACCGAGCTTGAGCATAAATGCATACATAAAATGAAACTGAAACTTGAGAACTCGTTTTAAATGTAGCATTTTGAAACTGATATGCAGAGTCTTTCAGTATTATATCATATTGTTAACCTGCCTGGTTGGCCCTTTCCCTTTTAACTAATGATTCCGAAAAGGATGATTTGGGGTGATACATGCCTTCTGTATTTATCCAAAACCCTTTTCAAAATCATGAGACCACCTCTGGTTTAATATGTCAATGGAATATTCACTGTAAAGGGCATGGATATTTAAGAGGTTTGTTTCCTTCACAATGTGTTGACAGAACTCTCAAAATTTCTTTCTTTGAAAAAGAAAACTAGAAATTATTTGAAGACTGTGACAGAGTCATGTCACTGGAATTGGAAGCACAGCTGTCCCTGTGAAGGCCCAGGCCACGAGGAGAGGAAATCATGTTGGTTCACTGACTGGGCGGGGAATCCTTGAAGGAACAAATCCAGGGTGCAGCAGGAAGTTGCCTGGGTGGGAGGTAGTGGCTCTTGTCCAGCCTGAGGCCTAACCAAATCAAACACACCCGACCACCTTGCATTTACAAAAATCTCCTCTATTTGGGATGCTGGGTGAAAATCCTAAGACCTTAGGCCTGTGTGCTTCTGAAGAAGTCCATATATGTGAAGCAGCTGCCTCTTTTTCTCTCAAGCACTGCCAAACACCTTAGGCGTCCCACTGAGATCTAGCTATGTGCTTATGGACAGCTATCTTCCAAACTGGGAAGAACCAAATAAGATACTCTATATCCTTTTGTTTCTCCGAGGCTCTGGAACATAATCTGTACACGTTAACTCGGTATGCCTGCATCTCATGTAGACCTGCCTCCTGAATCCCAGGGAAGAGGGCAAGATCATATCAGTATCAAGAAACACTAGCATTACATCATTGTGTGAGTAAGATAAAGCAAGGCAGAACAGAAAGAGCTGCATTTGAATTTGGACATTTGAGACCTGGTTTAAATTTGGTTCTGCATTTACCACCTGTGGGATCTTAGGCACGTTACTAAACCTCTCCGCTATAGAATGGCAATCATGACTTTTATGTTGCAGTGTTTCATAAATAACAACTATTAGTGTGATCTAGATTCAGGGTTGAGGCTCTTTTGTAGAAACAGCAGAAGATAGCAACAGACTGAAGGAATAGTCATGCCGTCTGGGTGAATAGCAGGTCGACTCTTGGTTCAGGAAAGATGAAGGTGGTATGTGGTTCAGGTATAGTCAAATACACGACCAATAGCAGCAGCAGCCATAACTCTCTCCGAAACATAAAGACCACACAGAGTGTCCACATAGGTGCCAGACACCACTACTCAAAGAGCTTGTTCCTAGGCCTGCTCCTTTTTAAAGAGATAATTTAATTTTAAGTTTCATGAGGGGCCAGGCAAAGTGGCTCATGCCTGTAATACCAGCACTTTGGGAGGCTGTGGCAGGATGAACGCTTGAAGCCAGGAGTTTGAGACCAGTCTGGGCAACAAAGTACAACCCTGTCTCTACAAAAAATAAACAATTAGCTAGGGGTGCTGGCACGTGCCTGTAACCACAGCTACTCAGGAGACTGAGGCAGGAGGATGGCTTGACCCTAGGAGTTTGAGGTGGCAGTGAGCTATGATCGCACCACTATACTCCAACCTGAGTGAAAGAGCAAGACCCTGTCTCTTAAAAAAAAAATTCATGAGGGAGGGACCATGTCTTATTCATGCACTTGATAGAGTGCTTGGCCCAACAGGTGTTCAATAAAATAATTTCTAATAAAATTATAATAATAGGCTTAACCCTGTTTCTCAGCATAGAGTAAAGGAAATAGAACACAGGCTATAAGTAATGTCAAGGCAATATCCCTTTCAGCATTTTCTCAATATGTATAGTTGGCCAAGTACTACTAAGTACTATCAGTCAAATACTATTAGAGCCCCTGATGTCATTGTCAATGTAAAAAAAAAATGACAAGAAAAAATCCAAAATATCTCAAGATTATTTCTATTGAATAGCCTCAGTTTGCTTTTAATCTTTCCACAGCCCATGTTCACATCTGTGGCCTCCCTTTTATGGGCTCTGGAGCTGTAAATCTGAAAGAAGACAGATAAGGTAGAAACCTTGTTAAACAAAATCCCCATCAAAATGACAGACATTCAAACAGGAGTGGCCTGCCTTTATCTCCAGTTACCACCCAGTCTGTTTCCCTTTTACAAAAGGTTTGCTGTATGAGAAGGGAACATTTTACCCAGGAGACCGAAAGTCACTCCCAGCTAGGCATTTCCCAAAGGAGTTGTACTGTATGTTCCAGAGTGCGGCTGCTGAGCTAACTATCTGGGTTGCAATAAAATGTCTTGATTTTTATCCATGGTTGGACAGATTGAGTTTTCTGATAACCCCAGTCCATTTCCCTAGAAATGCAGGTATGTATCCATATGCTGACTCATTCCGGGTGCAGAAGCACAGTCTCTACAGAGGGTGGAGACTGCAAAGGTGAATACTTCCAAGATGGAGAGGAGAAGGGGGAAGGGAGAGAACAAGAAAAACAACTGAGAGGAGTGTTCTGGATTGATTATTTACAGACAGTTTGCCAGCAACAGATAAGGGATAGATCACGGCTGGCAACCATTACTGGGGTGGTTTCTTTGGGTCTTTCATTTTAAGATAAAAGAGATTTGACATGTTTATTAAGTAATGTGGTTACCCTGGAAGCTGGGCATGTACTTCTAGTGATAACTGTATAGCAATTACTTCTGTTGGTTATAAGCTTCAGCTTTTGTTTGCTGAAATGTGAGATTTGGTTATATCTTTGTAGGTATGAGATACTTTTAAAGGGATAGTGTTTAGTAAATTTAAATATATAAAATTTGCCTTTTATTGGCAAGGATCACAATAACAGCTTTGTAGGATTTCTCCGCAAGCAAATAATCTCTACGTGGACATCAAGACTTTACACTAAGATTCTGAAGATGATTGAGTCAATGGATGAGTATAACTAACTTTTGGAAACTTCAAGGCAATTTAAGGAAACTGCAGGAGGACCAGAAACGATCAGAAAGGATCAAGAGCAGGGAACCAGGGCTGATCCAAAAAATGAGGGCCGGCATTTGTGATCTTGGGAGGAGCCACCCCAGTGTGGGTCAACTCCACAGCATTAGGAAGACCAATTCATCAGAATTACCTTTTCAAGAAATGGATCTGTTCCTTGTCACATTCTTAGAATAAAGACTTATCTTTATTACTACTAATTATAATGTTTTGGTTCATTCTTTTACAAATGATGCAATATGTGATACATACCAAAGAATACTTGTAATACACACTTAAGGTCTGAAACATAGCGGAAGAACAGAACATGACTGAATCTACGCTCCCTCTCAGAACAAAGACAGGAGCCACGAGCTGAGGCGACCTTGCCATCCCTCTCTCTCTATTGTCTCCCTGCCGCTCTCTCCAGAGATAATCACTGTCCTAAAATGACTGTTTATCACTCCTTCATTTTTGTTTGTTTTTTAGAGACTGGGTCTTGATAGGCTAGACTCAATTTCCAGGCTCAAGGTATCCTCTTGTCTCAGCCTGCCAAGTAGCTGGGACTATAGGCATGTGCCCTGCGGCCAGGACACCTTCACTTTTTTAGAAACATGGCTTTAATGCAGATTTCTATATCCCTAATAAATAAATGGACTAATTGTCTGGTTTTGCTTGTTTTTCAGCTCTTTATATAAAAATTCTACCGTGTGTCTCCTGGAACTTGCTTTTTTTCAGTCAATATTAGGGTTCTAAGATTTCATCTTTATTGTCTATAGATACAGTTTGTCATTTTTACAGTTGTATAATAATGTAAACTTGACACTATTTATCCATTCCTCTGTCAGTGAACCTTTGGGTTTTTGGGTTTCTTCTAGCTTCAGCCCCAACTAGAGACACTGCCATGATTATTCTTGAACATGTGCTCACCAGCAATTCTTCCTTTTCCTCCTGGGCATAGCCAAACAAATTTTGCAGCCTTCCTGCAGTGAGGTGGAGCCAATGACTAAATTCTGTGTGTTGGAGAGATAAATGCCACTTCTGGGCCTGAACCCTATGGCCCCTCCCATGCTGGCCTGAAGAAGAGGGTGCAGTGGAGGATGCTGAGGCCATAGGAAATGGTGGAGCCACTAGAGAGAGAAGCTGGTCCCAGAACGTCTGCGAGAAGCAGAGTCCTCCTTTCATCCATAATGACCACCACTGAACTGACAGCACAGGAAATAAACCTTTACTGTGTTAGCCACAGAGATGGGGGTTGCTTGTTATAGGTGTTAGACTTTCCTGATAAAACCTCCATTTCAAAATACATTAAAAGTGTGTGTGTGTGTGTGTGTGTGTGTGTGTGTGTGTGTGTCTAGTCAGTGTAAATGAAGCAAGAGCTGGGCCTGGGGGTGGGCTCTGCCTCATGCATTTATGGGGGAGTGAGGGAGTTGTGGAGATAAAAGGCACCAGGAGGGATCTCCTAGTGGAGCTGTTCTGCCTCTTGATTGCGTCAATGTCAGTATCCTATCCTGGTTGCTGATATTGTACTACAGTTGTACAAGATGATACCATTGGGAGAAAGTGGGTGAAGGGTACACAGGATCTTTGTATTCTTTCTTTCTTTTTCTTTTCTTTTCTTTTTTTTTTCAAGACAGAGTTTCACTTTTTTTCACCCAGGCCGGAGTACAGTGGCACAATCTGGTCTCACTACAACCTCCGCCTCCTGGGTTCAAGCGATTCTCCTGCCTCAGCCTCCCAAGTAGCTGGGATTACAGGTGCCTGTCACCACGCCCAGCTAATTTTTGTATTTTTAGTAGAAATGGGGTTGTACCATGTTGACCAGGCTGGTCTCGAACTCCTGACCTCAGGTGATCCACCCGCCTCGGCCTCCCAAAATGCTGGGATTACAGGCATGAGCCACTGCACCCGGCCTTTTGTATTATTTCTTACACCTACATGTGAATCCACAATTATCCCAAAATAAAAAGTTTTAATCATGAAAGACTTACATGGTAAATATGGAGAAGTATTAACAAAACTATGAAAGGTAGTTCCTCCCTTGTTTTTGGAACACATAAATAAAGTGGCTTCAGATACAGAGGACAGCCCTTAGATGTGTGAAAATGCCAACCTTTTACCCTTGGTTTCCTCACCTTAAAAACAAGGACAATACCTGTCCTATCAACTTCATAGGGGTTGGGGAAGATCAAATTAATTAAGATGATAAATGGGAAAGTACTTTGAAGTGCTATAAGATCTTATTACTAACATCGAAGGGACAATTCTAGTAACACTTTGGGAATGACAGAGGATACTATCAATCCACTTACATTTATGAGTGAAGAAGAGCTGCAAAGCTGCAGGTGCTGAGCCTTTGTATTAACTCAGTGACCAAGATGGAGGGGAGGTTAAGAATTGCACATTCATGGCAATAAAATATCAAAAGCACTTGCTGCAGGTGCAGATAGGGTGTGTAACATGCTACTTTGCATGTCAGAAAGAAGAAAGGTGGCTGGGTACGGTGGCTCATGCCTGTAATCCCAACACTTTGCGAGACCCAGGCAAGCGGATAATCTGAGGTCAGGTGTTTAAGACCAGTCTGGCCAACATGGCAAAACCCCATCTCTACTAAAAATACAAAAAAATTAGCCTAGCGTGGTGGTGTGGGCCTGTAATCCCAGTGACTTGGGAGGCTGAGGCATGAGAATCACTTGAACCCAGGAAGTGGAGGTTGCAGTGGGCCAAGATAGTGCCACTGCTCTCCAGCCTGGGCAACAGAGTGAGTCTCCAACTTAAAAAAAAACAAACAAAAAAAAAAATAGAAGAAGAAGAAAAGTAAGAATATGCACTCATATTTATTTTATTTACATAAAGAAACTCTGAAAGGCCTAATTAAAAAAACTAACACAAGTGACGAGAAGAACAAGGCAGACTGGGAACAGGTGGGGATGGGACTTTGCCTATTGTGTATTTAAAAAATTAGGTGAATATACTGCAGATTCAAACCTTAAAATAAAAAGGTACATTCTTAGAGAGGGTCCCTATATTTTGTATGTGGGGTGGGGAGGGGCAGCTACTTTTTGTTTTTCTCAAAGGCTTAGCTCCAAGAGTATAGAAATTAGCTGAGTATTATCACTAGAGTGTACATGTGTATGTGTATGTGTGTGCACATATGTGCATGTGTGTATATGAATAGGACTGTACATGGTGGAGAATTCTGGTCAAGCCCTACCTCCTTCCCATCCCCCAAAGCTGGCAATGCCCAGGAGTCATGGAGGACCACTGGAGCAGCTACTCTTGCTTTTCAGCTTTCTGCCCCTTAGGCCATTTTGTTTAAGAACACCAATTGATTTAATTGTGTCTTTTTTTTTTTTTTTTTTTGAGACAGAGTCTCACTCTGTCACCCAGGCTGGAGTGCAACGGCCTGATCTCAGCTCACTGCAACCTCTGCCTCCTGGGTTCAAGTGATTCTCTTGCCTCAGCTACCCAAGTAGCTGTGATTATGGGCATGCGCTGCCATGCCCAGCTAATTTTTGTAGAGATGGGGTTTCACCATGTTGGCTAGGCTGGTCTTGAACTCCTGACCTCAGATGATCCTCCTGCCTCGGTCTCCCAAAGTGCTGGGATTACAGACGTGAGCCACCACGCCCGGCCTAATTGTGTCTTATATAGGGAGACTGAGGCTGATCTAACACACTTTATAGGGCAAAACTAGATCAGAATTAGAAGCCACGGTCCTTACTCCCACTCCTTCCCTGTGCCCACTGGTCAGTACATCCTTGGGTCAAACGTGGATTGAAAAACTAATGCTATCTCTGAGTAGCAAAGTTAAGTCTGGGTTGTTTCAAAGGACTTTCTAGTTGTTAGAAGAATCAAACTTGAAAAGCTGAAATCAAGAAGCAATTCTTTCAGATTGTGTTGGTTTTCTGTAGCCCCCATGACCTCTGGAATAATGGAAACAATGAATGATGTTGGGGTAAACTGTCTTTGAACATTAGCATGTAAAGTCTTTGTGTTTACTCTCTGTGGAGTCCACTGAGTCTGCAATTTTAGGCTGTTCACCTCCCAGAAAAATAGGTCTTTTGAAGTATTTTGTCCCCTTGGTTAGAGGCCAACTCCGCATGTTTTCATCTTCTTGTAAATACAGTGTTCAAGCACCATCCCATCCAAATGGGTTCTACCTTCTCATTGACTGGTTGTGGTGGAACAGTATGAACTGAGGGTTTTGGCCCACTCCATTCTTCCAACATAAAACAAAGGCTATGCCATTTGGAGATGCTTTTGTTGCGACCACAATTCATTTCTGAGGTCTCAATCAAACAAAAGCTCAAGGATAAACTTTGCAAATTCTTTTTAATTTGCCTGACATAGGAGACAGTTTATAATACATATGAGGTTTCCAAGCATATCGCCAAATAAAAAATGAGAAATATTAGCTTAGCCAAAGAATTTTTTTTTTTTTTTTAAAGACAGGGAATCTGTGTATATAAGACTGTGAGTTCCTCTAGAAAAGGAATGTCCCATTCCGCCCTGTATCTTTAGTATCCAGTATGGTATCTGGCATAAAGAATTTGCTTACTTTCAGCTCTCACCTGGGAGTATAAAAAAGGCAAACCCCATCTCTACAAATATTAAGTCCTATAAACTAAATAAGATTCCATGTTTAACCTGAAAGCCACGCTGGAAAGACTAGTATAGAACTAAATTTATATCTTTATTGGAAAACAAAGCTGAAACGAGACAATGGTTTAGAGCAGAAATTGATGGGTGGTTGGCATTTAAAAATCTGAATGTAATTGCTAGTTCTCTGGCCTCAATCACACTGACGGATTCCTTTTGGCAATTATCTTCACTAGGCTTGCCTGTATGCAAAGTTTCTGATTACTGGCAGGTACTATGGTTTCCCTGGAGACGGGGGAATTGTTAATCCACCTTTTCAACACTGGGAGAGTTCAAAAGACTCATAGTACAAAGAGAAAGTTCCACAGTTGGGAGCATCAGAGGTAACAGTGGGGAGCCCCATAGCACCTCATTTGCAGAAAGGAACTAGAAATTAGGATCCCTACCCACCGCGTGCTCTGAGGTTGGAATTCTGACCATATACATGTGTAGGGTCTGGTAGCTGTTACAGAAGAGACAGTACAGTTGTAGTGTGCCCCCCAACTCCTTTCAAATCATGCCACTTACCCAGAAAGTGGCACTATTTTATGGCACACTAGGAAAATGGGTAAGGCTGGCA